AGAAAGATATATGTCCCACTTATTAGCAAATATGGCCAAAGTGACTTTTAAAAAGAGGGGAAAAGGTACAAACCATCCATTCTTATTATAGATGCAATCTTTCATTTTCTGGCATATATTCATAGACTTGTTTAATGCTTTAGTCCAGAATATATCTAAAGATGGCTCTTGAACTGAGCTATCCTGATGATTAATTAATATGTTGCTCATACATTAAGAGGCAGTTTAGTGTAATGGTTGAAGGCAGCAGGCTAGAAATTGGGAGACTGGGAATTCTAGTCCTATATAAAAAATGGTTGCAGGAACTGGGAATGTGTAGTCTCATGCAGAGAAAATGTAGGGAGTAACATGATAGCAGTCTTCCAATATTTAAGGGCAGTGATGGGATTCAAATTTGTTTACACTTGTTCTATGGGCATGGCTTGGTGGGCATGGTGTGGATTGGTGGGTGTGGATTGGTGAGTGTGGCAGGGGAAGGATACTGCAAAATCAATGTTCCCTCCCCACTCTTTGGCAAGGTTACTGCAAAATCCTCATTCCCTCCTTACCCCACCAACCTGCTTTCCATTTTCCTGTGCAGGGTAACAAAAGAAGACCCAACTGATCAGCTGGGACTTTGGAGACAGTGAATCGATGGGGGCGGGGCCAGCCAGAGGTGGTATTTGCTGGTTCTCCGAACTACTCAAAATTTTCACTGTTGAGGACTCGGAAAGTCCTCGACTTACGACCTAGTGGCTAGCAACCAGCCAAGCCGTGCCCTAATTGGCTAAGGCGTGGCTTGGCTGAGCGTGGGCCGCTAGGGGCGCGCTCATTGGCTTTTCCTGCTTGACAGCTCTGTATAAATAGCTGTCAAGCAGGGAAGGCGCTGAATCGCCTGTAAATAGTTACCTGAATAAAGTGTTCCTGTTCTGGCACTTCTGGCTCCAGTCTCGTCCTCCCGCCAATCCACTAAATTCGCTACTGGTTCTCTAGAACCAGTCAGAATCTGCTGAATACCACCTCTGTTTAAGGGGTGTTCACAAAGAAGTGAGGTTATTCTCCAAAGCACCTGAGACAGGACAAGAAGTAAGGGATGGAACTTATCAGAGAGAGGGATCCAATCAAGAATTAGGGGAAAAAATTCAGACAGTGAGAACAATAAACCAGTCAAATGACTTGCCTCCAGAAGTTGTGGGTGCTCCATCACTGGAGGCTTTTAAAAGGAGGTTGAACAGCCATTTGTCAGAAATGGAATAGGGTCTCCTCCTTGAGCAGGGAGTTGGATTATAAAACCTCCTAAGTCCCTTCCAACTCTGTAGTTCTGGGCAGTCACTTTCTCTCAGCAATGGGAAGGAGGCAGGGGTGGGGTGGGCTCAGTGGTGGGATTCAAATAATTTAACAACCGGTTCTCTGCCCTAATGACCATCTGGGTAGGTGCGGCTCAGTGGTCATGTGACTGGGTGGGCATGGCCAACTCAAGGTCACTCGGGTCGATGGGCGCTTCGCCTTAGCTGTTACAATGTAATAAGGGTTAACCGGAGAGGCAGTTTCTGTAAGCAGGTCAATAAAGATTAGGCTAGAAACACCAGAATAGTTTCCTTCCTGCCTTCCTTACAGGATTAGCCCTGTAAAGTGGAAAAAAACAAAAGGAGATTTCTTCCAACAATCGGTTCTCTGAACTACTTAGAAAGTTACCAACCAGTTCTCCCGAATAGGTACGAACTGGCTGAATCCCACCACTGGGTGGGCTGCTACATGTTTGCCCAGGTTCAGGAGAACCCATAGTTAATTATAGCCAGTTCGGAGAACCTCCAAATCCTACTCTTGTCTGGCCCCACCCACCCACCCTGACCCTCCCAAAAGTCTCCTCGTGGCTTGTTTTGGATGCTAGGTAAGTGCAGGACCCATATGGAGGCTCGGTGAGGGAGAAAAACAGGCCTCCTGGAAGTTCCGGAAAGCGGGAAATGGGCCTGTTTCTGGCCTCTGGAGGGGCTCCGGAGCCTGGGGGAGGAAGTTTTCACCCTCCCAGAGTCTCAAAGAAAGCCTCCAGAGCCTGGAGAAGGTGAAAACGCTCCCCCCCACCGCTGTAGTGCAGGAGGCTGACTAGGCCACGTCCACCCAGCAGAGAACCCATTGCTGAATTTTTTGAAGCCCATCATTGGAAGGAGGCAATGGCAAACTACCTCTGAAAAACTTGCCCCAGAAACCTCAGGGGCTTCCCCAGGCAGTCTCCAAGAATCAAACATAATTGAATGGAATTTTTTAAAAAAAATCTGTGCATAGGTCCCCCCCCCCCAAAAAAAAACAGGAACATAAGTGGAACATATTTTTAAGGCATATATTTTTCTCCTCTGGCATTCTAGTCAGCTCCATGGATCCTGGAGAAATATTTTTGGGCGATGAGATACCTGCAGCTTGTCTTCAGAACTAGTTTCTGTTCTCTTGCTCTGTTCATCTCCATCTCAGCACCCTTGGGCAGTGGGGAATGGGAACCATCTTTTCAAGTTCTTTTTATTTTATTTTAATGAATACCGTATTTTTCAGAGTATAAGATGCACGAAGAATTTGAAGAGGCAAATTAAAAAAAAAAGTTTTTGCACTCTGCAGACCTCCCCAAAATGGCCTGTTTTTCGCAAACGTGGGGCTGTTTTTTGTTCAAAAAAGGGCATGCATGCCCTTTAGGAGGCTTGTAGAGTGCTCCTGGAGGCTGGGGTGGGGGGGGGCAAAAATGAGCAAAAAATGGCCCATTTTCACCCATTTTTGCCCTCCCCTGCCCCCAGGAACACTCTGGAAGCCTCCTAAATGCAATGCACGGCCATTTTTGCAAAGGGGCGGACTTTCAGGAGGCCAAAAATGCTGTATTCAGTTTATAAGACACACCCAGATTTTCAGTGTTTTTTTGAGGGGAAAAGATCTGTCTTATACTCCAAAAAATACGGTATATCAAATCAATACGTGAACAGTGTGGCACCTGGATGTCATACATTCTAATACAAATAAAACTAATCATAATTATTACATTCATTCAACTTATGTATTTCTAATAATAATACACATTTATAATAGGTTGCAATCTATCATTGTTCAATTATTCCATGTTTTCTCGTCATTTTATTATATAAAAGTATATGCACCAGTATTCCCCCTTCTCTTATTTCCATCACTTATTCTAGCTTTTAATCATGTCACCCTTTATTAAAAGACTTTATTCTTTCTATCTTATCTAACTTCTAATCATGTCATCTATCTGAGAGAGAGAGATGGGGGGGAGAGAGAGAGAGAGAGAGGGATAAGCAAAAGCAAACCAGAACAACAAAAGAGATCATCTATCCATTGTCTCTTGCCTGCTTCAATACTTTAATTGCTGTGCTTTTTGTCCCCCGAGATGGAATGGGAACCATCTTGAAGGGAGACTTTCGGTTCAGGAACCGCTACAGACACCTGTCCGATTATGAGTTGAGCACTGAAGCTGATTAGAATTTGACACTCCTACTACTTTGCTGCATGAAGAGGGAATGAGTGGACGCTTCTCAAATAGCAGTGACCTAATCTACAGGCTAACCTCCTAAGATCCCAGGTGTCTTCTATAAATCATCGCCATGCAGCCTCGCAGCAGACAAGGAGGTAGAGGGTAACGTAATAAAGCAAAACTAATAAATCAAATTAGCACAAAGGACATCACACCAGAGACTGGGGGGTTGAGGGTCAGCCTGGCAATGCAAAATAAATATGGCGGGAAAGGGATGGAATCCCAGCCTGCTTCTTCTCCTGGTCCTACATGAACCTGAAGTGTGAGAGAAGAAATGTGGCTACAGAATCATAGATTCACAGGGCTGGAAGGGACTTTAGAGGTCTTCTAGTCCAACTCTCTCTCCAACGCAGGAGGACTTATATCACTCTGGATAAATGGCTGTCCAATTCTTTTTTCTTGAAGCCTTCCCACAACTTCTGGAGGCCAGCTGTTACATTGATTAATCATTTTACCAGTGAGGAAACTTCTTTTGATTTCCAGATTTGATTTCCCTCCAAGGAGCTTCCATCCATGGCTTCTTATCCTGCCCTCAGGTGCTTTGGAGGATAAGTGAATTCATCTTGTTCCTTAGATTTATCTGGCATTGTTCACAATGTATGGGATGGGAGTTTACTTTTACCCACCAAAAGAAGCATTCTAGAAACATTCTAAGGTAAAGATTCCCCTTGCACATATGTGCTAGTTGTTCCTGACTCTAGGGGGCGGTGCTCATCTCCGTTTCAAAGCCGAAGAGCCAGCNGTATATAAGTCTAACTGCTATTGCTATTGCTCTCCACCCGCCCTCCTGCACATGCGTGCGTGACCCCCTCATGCCCCGTTTTGGGCCTAATATGCCTCCCTGCAGCCTCCTGGGAGCAAAAATAGGCCGTAAGGGTCCTTCCCCACCCCCATGCATGCCCCCACCCCCACGCATGGAGAGACCCAAAAATCAGCTTGCTGGTGGGAGGCACGTGTGTATGTGTGGTGGAGCTGAACTGGAGCGGTGGCTCGCATGCCTGCACAGAGGGACTGGAAAAAGTGATCTAGGGGCATTTTTCACAGTTACAACCTTTGAAGCATCCCCACGGTTACATGATCAAAATTCAGATGCATGTCAACTGGTTCACAGTTATGACCGTTGCTGTCTCCCAAAGTCACATGATCCCCTTTTGCGACCTTCTGACCAGCAAAGTCAATGCGGAAGCCAGATTCCCTTAATAACCAGTTTACTACCTATCGACAACTTTTATTCACTTAACAGCTGTGACAAGAAAAGTGGTGAAATGGGGCAAAACTCACTTAACAAATGTTTCACTTAGCAACAGAAATTTGGGGCCCCTTTGTTTAAGTCGAGGACTATCTGTAAAATAGTAGTCAAAAGTAAACCTGATTAAGGAGGATAGGGCTTAATTCCAAGTAGGAATGCTTTTCCATCTTCCCTTTTCTTCCCTTCTCTAATAGGAGAAATTCAATACTTTTCAAGATAAGGCATAAAAACTCATTTGCTTACAGATCTCCAATATAAAGGTTAGGCCAGACTTCGTTGACATTTCCCCGGCAAGGAACTGGGGTCCATAACATGCGTTGCAACTCCCCCAATTCTGGAGTTTGATAGCTGTGCTGACTGCTTAAGGAGCGACTGGATGTTCTTTGCAGCCTGGGGCGTCTCAAGTCATCTGTGTTTAGTGAATACCAGGACATTCTGAAAGAGACTGGAAAGAATAATTCTGACATGGATTTATGGAGATCAAGGTGGAACAAAGTGAGTTAATGCGAGACATAAAAGGTAGGAGACAAGAGAGGGAATTGGCTTTGGAGACAGATGTACACACTTTCTTGGTTGCAAGACTTCAGCAGAAGACCCAGAAGTCCTGATTCTTCAGGATTTTGTAAACTACCACCCACGAAGGACACAAGGGACACGATGTTAGGGACATATTCTATATCCCTTCTTTGCAGCTCTATGCTCTTTTGCTCTAAGTAGAGTTTCCTGTTACAGTTATATTGTTGAGCAGTAAAGCACATGGTGACTGTGCTCTTTGTTTGCTCTGTGGTGCTTTACATGAAACAGAATATCAAACATGAGGAAATTTCTCCTTAGTTCTAACCTTCCACCTGTTACTCCTTGTCTCACCCTCAAACAGCTGAAAAAAAGCCCCTTTGCCTCCCAAAAGTTTTTTATAAAAGCTGGAAAAGCTTCAGAAGATGATAACCATCAGGGACTAGATAGCGATTCGTGTGGAGAAATCTTAAAGGAGCTGGGGACATTCGCCTGGAGAAGACTGAGGCGGGCTCTTCAAAAGTGCTAGAAGAAATTCTCACGAAAGAGACTTCAGTCCTGTCTTCTCTCCTTCCAGAAGATAGGACAGGAAACAATGGATTTAAGTAACAGGACGGCAGATTTTGATTGAATGTTAGATAAAACTTCCTTACAGGAAGAATAGTTTCAGTGTGGAATCAGCAATGCAGAGAGACAGGAGAAGTCGTGGATTCAGGAGGAGGCTATCAGGCTTGAAATACATGCCTACATGAGGTGGGACTCCATAGACCTGAAGAGCTCCTTCCAATTCTATATTACATTATTATTTTGCATAATATACATAGTACATGTGATAATAAAGCCTTATCATTCCATCCTGGCCAAGAGACACTCATTAAAAGCTATTGGAAAAAAGAGGAGAAAAGGAGTTTAACTTTGATCAAATAAGTCAACTTCATAAACTTGTTTATTCTTTTTATGTAATGTCCCAAAAGCTGATTTTTTGGGGTCTCTTTTTAGAACACATCTGCTTTGTCAATCCAAAAATAAGGAAATTGTCTGTCACTTTTGTGAGTTAAAGTCCACACATCCAAGACACCCTTCTAATTTATTGGTTGTGTGTTGCTTTCAGTTATTAAAACCTCAATCAGTTTCATTTCTAGGTCCTACATAACATCTTTGTCAATATGATTCTTGTATTCTGTCAATATTAAATCCATATCTAAAATAGCCTGATTTTCAGCTATATTCTTTATATTGTTTCCTTTAAGTCCTTATTTATTTATCAGCTAGTCTAGAGAGTATGTTCTAGGTACATTGTTATCAAAGATCTTTAAATGCTTTCAGAGTTTAAATATTTTACTCCAGATGTGGTATTCAGTAGATTCTGACCAGTTCTGGAAAACCAATAGTGGAAATTTTGAGTAGTTCATAGAACCAGTAAATACCACCTCTTACTGGCCTCACCCCCATCTATTCTCTACCTCCCGAGTCACAGTTGATCAGGAAAAAATGGAGANCATTCTAAGGTAAAGATTCCCCTTGCACATATGTGCTAGTTGTTCCTGACTCTAGGGGGCGGTGCTCATCTCCGTTTCAAAGCCGAAGAGCCAGCACTGTCTGAAGATGTCTCCGTGGTCATGTAGCTGGCATGACTAAACACTGAAGGCGCACGGAACACTATTACCTTCCCACCAAAGGTGGTCCCTATTTTTCTACTTGCATTTTTACATGCTTTTGAACTACTAGGTTGGCAGAATCTGGGACAAGTCACAGGAGCTCACTCCATTACGCAGCACAAGGGATTCGAATTGCTGAACTGCGACCATTCTGATCGATAAGCTCAGCGTCTTAGCCACTGAGCCACCGTGTCCCAGTCAGAAACATTCTAGGTAGATGCATTCTTGGTAGAAGCATTTTTGGACAACTTTTTGCCATAGGGGAGAAACCCATCCCCACTCTTCCCACCCTAGCATTCAGGCCCAACCTTTTGCTCATGGGTCCAGAAGATAGTGGTACTCTGGAAATAGTAGGAGAAATCACTCCAGTAGAAGGACAGGACAGCTTCAAAGGAAGCGTGAAGTGAATTGCATAGATGGAGGAGGGGAAGACTATCTTGTTAAGCAACAGCGAGAGACACAAGAGGAGGGTGGGGCGTACAGTCTGTCCCAAAGGAAAGAGTCAGACAGAGCATCAAAACAAGTTGTTCCATCCCCTTGCACCTCTTTTGTTTCCTCCCAAGACAACCTGTGGGGTTACTCGGGAAGACCTCAACACGTCCACCATATGACGACTGTCCCCAGCAACTGGTGCATTGGAAGTCTTGCAATGCAAATTGGTGGATTCTACAGCCTTCAGGAACTCGAGGAACAACTGCCCCTAAATTATAAAGTGCTAGCTTGAAAGACTATATGTAATTTAGCGGTGAATTCCATGAATCAAGCAGCCAAATGTCAAACTCTTGGCCTTCTGCTATCTGGACCAGGAACATGGATAGGAACCATAGCCAGAAACTATCCCATTTCCCAGATCCTTCTAACTGTGCCCATTCAGCCATTCTCAGTTACTTTTTACAGTGTCTATAAGAGGTATCTTGGAGTCTTAGTGGACAACCAGCTAAATATGAGCTAGCAGCATGCAGCGGCAGGCAAAAAATCCAATGCAATCCTAAATTGCATTAACAGAGGGACACAATCAAGATCAAGTGAGGTCCTAATACCACTCCATGAAGCCCTAGTAAGATCACACCTAGAGTACTGCATCCAGTTTTGGTTCCCACACTATAAAAAAGATGTTGAGAAAGAATGCAGAGAAGAGCAACCAGGATGTTTAGGGGACTGGAGACTAAAATATATGAAGAACGGTTACAGGAACTGGGCATGGCTAGTCTAGTGAAGAGAAAGACGAGGGGAGACATGATAGCAGTGTCCCAATATTAGAGGGGCTGTCACAGAGAGGAGGGGATCTAGCTGTTTTCCAAAGCACCTGAAGGCCAGACAAAGAATAACAGATGGAAACTGACCAAGGAGAGATTCAACCTGGAAATAAGAAGGAACCTTCTGACAGTGAGAACAATCAACGCATGGAATAGAAGTTGCCTTCAGAAGTTGTGGGAGCTTCATCACTTGAGACATTCAAGAAGAGATTGGACTGCCATTTGTCAGAAATGGTGTAGGGTCTCCTGCTTCAAGGGGGGCAGGGGGTTGGACTAGATGACCTATAACCGGGATGGTGAACCTATGGCACGCATGCCACAAGTGGCATGTGGAGCCATTTGTCAGGGCACGCGAGGCGTTGCCCTGTCATTTTTCATCCTCTGGAGCCTTCAGGGAAGCCTCTGGAAGGCCCCTGAAGGCTCCAGACGGCTTAAACCAGCCCTACGAGCAAACTGGAAGTCTGTTCCCGAACTTCTGGTTTGCCCATAGGGCCGTTTTTTCTGCTCTCAGGAGGCTTCAGGGAAGCTCCTGAAGCCTCCAGAGGGCCTCTGAAAGGGCAGGGGAGGCTGTTTTCGCCCTTCCCAGGCTCCTATAAAGTCTTTGGAGCCTTGGGAGGGCAAAAAAAGCATACAAAAAATGGAGGGGAGTGCCTGTCATGCACACGTGCAAGCGGGGGGGGGGGTGTTTCGTGCATTGCAGCACACATGCGCATGACCCCCCTGCGCTTCCCCCACTCATGGCATGTGAGCCAAAAAAGGTTCACCAACACTGACCTATAAAGTCCCTTCCAACTCTGTTAATCTGTAAGAACTGTAGTCCCAGTACCACCACTCCTTCAGCTCTTTATTCTTAAAAATTATCAAAACTTATGGCCTTTCTCCTTAATATGGAGATTGCACAATATGAATAAATGTTCTTGTCATTTGTTAGCTTATATACCATGCTAAGCCAGCCCTAGAAGTCTGCCTGTGTAAGACAAAGATGGAGGGTTCTTCTCTCAGCTTCCCTTGTCCTTCAAAGCATATTGAAGATGACTCACAATCACCTTCAAGCCTGATCATCTTGAATTGGAAGAACAAGAAACAAGAGAACCTTGTTTAAGCAATGGAGTCATTTAACCCTTGGCCCATCGTGAGCTGCCAAAGATCCCAGAGTAACAAAAGTCCCTTCATTCTGTACTCCATGCAAGTAGAGGGAAATAGTGTAAACTGCTTGCATAGGCAGCTCTCCCATATGTAGACTGATTTCATATTCTACACATTTGTCTGGTTGTGTATAAAATCCAGGCAATCCCAATAATGTGGGGGGAGATTAAAAACACCCTCATGCCACCTTTCTCCTTAAAAGACCTGCCTACGTAGCCTCTCCCCCCAGGCTCTTCCCAGGTAGCCAGCAAATGGTCAGCATGCTCCACTGGTTTTTCAGAGAAAACACTCATGTACCACTAGTCTCAAATACATCACTGCTGAGCCCGGAAAATATCGACCCAGCTGTCGAACGCTGACAATGTCATAAGAGAGTCAGGAACTGATTATGGCAAGGTATGAAGACCTCCCGTGGATGGCCCTAACATGATACTCCCCTCTCCTGTTCCTGTAAAGGTTGTGATCCCACAACATTAATGATGGGAATACTTCTGCCTGGACTGCCAGAGCTATCAGACTAGTTTAGAGAAGGAAAGACATTCAACTTTTTTTCCCTAGATGGACTTGGAGATACAAAATTATCATTCCGTTCCTGGCACTGTATAAGGTGATCCATCCTTAAATATGTATCCTCTTGATCTTCCTCCATGCTTAGGTGGCACTTTTCAGACATTCTGCCTGGATCCTCTCCCCCACCTACTCAGAGGGACCTACAGTATATCAGCCCCATCACTAAGGACAGCATGAAATGGGTTGCTACTAGTTTGCACCGGTTCAGGCAAACTGGTAGTAGTATTTTGGCCTTGGTCGCAGAACCGGCAGTGATCCAGGCTGGCCACACCCCTGAACTAGTTCCTTGGTTAGGGAATGCCGGCATGTTTTGGGGTAATTTTTTCATGTTCTACGCATGCGCAGAACAATTGACAGTCAACTGTGCACGCACGCACAGCGTGCGTCTGGCGCACGCAAAGCGAACCAGCAGCAACCCACCCATGGTGAGAAGGAACCGAGCCAGCTCTTTCGGCGTGCCCCTAATAAGCAGAAAAACACAGCATGCAATTGCAGTTGTCGTTCAGCTGTTGGGGAAAAGATACCGCTCTACCCCATTCATGCACCCACCTTAGGCAAATATCAGTTTGTCAACAAGCTCGAAAGTACTTGCCTTTTGAGGGTCCAGCTTCTCCGGCTGCTTGGGACCGTTTTAGATCACGACATTCTTCTGCTGTTTCCTTCTGGGTTGCTAGTTACACAACAGCTTCCTTGCCCTGTTAGCTGCCTGTGGTTGAGTCAATGGCTATTTTTAATGGCAATTATAAACCATGGTGTGTGTGTGTCCCGTCCCACCCTGATAACAAACTTCCAAATATTTCAGGGCGAGAGGCAGCTGGGTCCGGCTTGGAAAGGAGCCCATCATCTGAAATAGTCTCAGCTCTGAATGACCTTCCAGAGAGCTTTGGGTCTCACGTTCCCACGTGAGGGTGTGGAAGGGACCGTTCCAGGAACTGTGAGTTCTCCCAGCAGGGAGAATGCAAAACAGGAGTCTGTCATGCGTTCCCTGCTGAACAAAGGCGAGAGTGTTTGAAAAGAAGGTGGTTTTGTCTCGCTGCAAGACTTTGGATTCCTTTGTCTGCCACATGTTAGCCTAAGCCTGTAATCATATTTATTAATCAAATTTACATTGAGCATCCACCCATCTGCCACCTCCCCATGGGGCTCTGGGCTGTATGGCACACAACAATCCAATTTTACAAATGGGCAAAGCCTTAGTAAGCCTTAGTAAGACCACATGTAGAATACTGCATCCAATTTTGGTCACCACACTATAAAAAAGATGTTGAGACACTAGAAAAGTTGCAGAGAAGAGCAACCAAGATGATTAGGGGACGGGAAGATAAAAACATAGAATGAATGGTTGCAGGAGCTGGACATGGCTAGTCTAGTGAAGAGAAGGACCAAGAGAGACATGATAGCAATAGCAATAGCACTTAGACTTATATACCACTTAATAATGCTTTTACAACCTCTTTAAGTGGTTTACAGAGTCCGCCTATTGCCCCCAACAATCTGGGTCTTCATTTTACCCACCTCGGAAGGATGGAAGGCTGAGTCAACCTTGAGCTTGGTGGGATTTGAACTGCTGAACTGCAGCTAGCAGTCAGCTCAAGTAGCCTGCAGTACTGCACTCTAACACTGCCGCCTTAGCTCTTATTAGCAGTGTTGTAGCAGTCTTCCAATATTTGAGGGGCTGCCACAGAGAGGAGGTGGTCAAGCTGTTTTCCAAAGCACCTTTGAAGGCCAGACAAGGAACAATGGATGGAAACTGACAAGGAGAGATTCAACCTAGAAATAAGGAGGAACTTTCTTTTTTTTTTTTCTTTTTTTTTTTTATAAAATATTTTATTCAATTTTCAATTTTCACATTCCATTTGCAATCATTTATACACAGGGTATTTACTATAAGAAAAGAA